ATTAGGGTTCATGTATGCCATTGCTTGGCTATTCCTTTGATTCAAGTCATTTTGTTATATTTGGTGAGATTTGGCATGTTTTGGACTTGAATTTGAGCTTGGAGTTGAAAATCTCCGAAGGGATTATTTTGGTACAGGGTGTGTACCCGCGAACGGAACGGCGGGCGGGGCACCACCCGCCGCCCCACCCGTGGGGTACAAGCTAGTGGGACGAAGGTTCCCGCGGGCGGAACCACGGGTGGAGGTCCACCCGTGGCTCCACCCGCGGTTACGTGTGTGGTGATGTTTAGGGATTGGTTCCCCGTGATTCTTTTGACTCGGTAATTGATGTTTTGACTTTCCGATGTTCTTTTGTTGGGCTTTTTTAGTGTCATCTTGATGTTTCGTATGTCTAGAACTATATGGTAAGATTCCATATAGGTTTTGGTGTCTTGAATCGTGCTAAGTGTTCAACTTTGTTATTCGTTGAACCATGATGAGTCTTGTATGTTCCTCAGAACTATGTTTGGTTTAACTGTTTGATAATCATGCTAGTTTGATGTTGAAATGCTAGCGTATGTGGGTTGTTCTTTCCTATTATGGATGGTGACTTGTGTTAATCATTGTTTTTGTCGGACTGTGATCCTTTCCTTGATTGAGTATGGTTTCATACTTCGTTGTGATCTGTTGATTGATTCCTATGATGATGATGTGTGTGTTGGCTGTACCTGGATTGCACGATTAATGGAATGGGACATTAGTCACCAAGGTACGGCGGTGGTCCTCGTGGTGGCCATGACGTGATTATGGAGTTGTGAACTGGGGTATAGGCTCATGTGTGCGGCGTGGGCTTCAGGTCGTGTGAATTGAACGGTACCCTCGTGTACTATGAAATCGGTGGTTGTTGATTTGGTGGGAATAGGTGGGGAACGAAGGTTCCCGGAGGCATAAGGTTGGACTTGTATGTACAGGGGTCTTGGAGGTAATGGTTGGAACTAGTTATAAGGTAGGGGGTAGCCATAAGGTTAGAACCGGGCATAAGGATGGATTGTGATAATTGTTACATGAAGTGTCATTGTAGCATGAAATGCCAATGTGTGTGATTGCGTATCCTCTTTCGTTGTGTACGTCGAGTGGTATTCTACTTTGTGATCAGTAGAATACACCTCAGGTTGTAGTTGTTGTTGTAGTCTTTGTGTTGATGTTTTTGCTTTATGATTAGTAGATTACATCCTAGGCGGTGTTGAGTAGTTTTGTCGTGTCTTGTCTTGACGTGTTGGGATGTGATCCCCTTGTTCTTTGAGAGTGGAATTGAGTCTGTGTTGTTGACTTCTATCTTTGGTTTTGAACTGTTATATTCAGTATCCCGTTTCACAAATGATTTTGTATATACTATATATCTATGTATGATATTTCACATGTATTGGTGGGTTACCAATATCATACGCTGACCGGGCGTCGTCCCATTTATTTATGTGCTTTTCAGGTTCCGAGTAGTTAGTGAGCGCGGTAGTAATGACTAGTTTAGTCTCCCAGAATGTGGTAGATGTGTTTTGGGCCTGCGTGCCCCTTATGTTGAACAATGTTTAGACCGTTGACTTTAGTTTTGCCTATGCGTTCACTAGGATGTGAGCATGGCATAGCACTCCCTTTTTTCTGGATTATATATATACTAGACTTCCGTTGTGCTTTGCTTATGTTTTGTGATTAGATATCTTGCAAATTTAAGTTTTGAAATGGCAAGAAAATCGGGGGTATTACACGCATAAACAGCGGAAGTCTAACTATATATAACAGATTTAAAACGAAGAGTGTTATGCCACGCTCACACCAAGGTGAACGCATAGGCGTAAACAACATCAACATAATCAGTCTCCAAAGGACAAGGTCAAACAATCCATAAGTCTAAAATCTAACATAGGAGGCACACAGGCCAAAACAAACTACAAGGTCTGAGGGATCTACACTATCCATCACTAGATCGCGCTCACCTCTACTCGGGACCTGAAAGAAACACATAAATAGAATGGGACGACGCCCGGTCAGCGAATGATGCTGGAAACCCACCAATACATGTGAAATATCATACATAGATAGGATATATACAAAATCATTTCGAAATGGAGTACAGTATATATATGTTCAAACCAAGGATAGAAGTCAATCACAAGACTAAATACTCTCACAACAAGGATAAGGGAACACATCCCAAGACAACAAGAAGTGACAACGACACACAAGAACGGCTCAAGGCGTATTCTACCATCACTCAGTAGAACATCACCTGACATGCATAACACAAGAGAATAAGGGACACACAATGGCAAGACATGTCTTCGCGACATCACTCGTCACGAATATAGAATTACACAACGGCAACACATGCCATCGTGACATCACCCATCACGAATTGATATGCCTTCCTTATGCCCGGTTCCAACCTTATGGCTACCCCCAACCATATAGCTAGTTCCATCATTTACCTCCAGGACCCCTGTACTTCTGAGTCCAACCTTTTCCCTCCTGGGACCGTCGTCGACCAACGACCACCAACAATTCCACCAATTCATGGGATACGAGGGTACCGATCAGACACTTTGGCAACACATGCCTACCAAGAAAACGTGAACCCATCACTCATGTGACACCCCGTAATCCAAATTCAGTTAAGGGATTAATTAAGTAATTAATCCTAAACCAATTGGTAATTTAATTCTTTAAATTCCTGAAAATTCAATAGTCGGGGACTAGTAATTGACTAGTCAACCCAAAGTCAAGGTTGTACCTTAAGCTTTGTGAGTAGTTCCCTTGTCCCCTTACACCTCTTCATTTTAGTAAGGGTATTCATGACATTTCACTTTGTGTTAGTAATGCAAGCTAACCTAGTAGACACTCCTCATTCTTTCTCCTTACACTTCCCAAACTTGAGCTCTCCCTTCTCTCTAAAAGTTAGATAGCTTTTCTTCCAAGCCAAGTTGGAGCTTTATCAAGTCTTCAAAGGTTGTCTCCGAGATTCTACCTTTCATACATTTGAGCATCTAGGAGGGTAAGATCTATGTTCATCTTGTGTTTTTAGTGTTTTCTAAGGTGTCTTTTCTTAAAGATAGAATCTTTATGATCTTTTGGTGTGTTCTTGAAGTGGGTTTGGAAGGTGAGCCTTAGTGGGAGCTTGGTGAAGTGTTAAGTGAAGGTTTTTGTCTACAAGAGGTAACCCATGCTCTACAAAATCTATTTTGCTTACCTATATAATGATTTATTAGATTCTACATGTGTAGGAATCCATGTAGGTTTTGGTGTCTAGAACTATATGGTAGGAATCCATGTAGGTTTTGGTGTCCTGAATCGTGCTAAGTGTTCAACATTGTGTTTCGTTGAACCGTGATGAGTCTTGTGTGTTCTTCAGAACTATGTTTGGTTTACCCGTTTGATAAGCATGCTATTTCGATCTTTAAATGCTAGCATGTGTGTTGTTTGTACCTTCCTATCGTTGATGATAACTTGTGTTATTCATCGTTGTTGTTGATTGGACCGTGTTCAAATCCTTGATTGAGTATGGTTTCGTATCTTCGTTGTGATCCGTTTATTGATTCCTGTTGAGGTGTGATGTGTATGTGGCTGTACCTGGATTGCACAATTTCGGTTTATGGGGCCTTAATCACCAAGGTTCGGCAGTGGTCCTCGTGGTGGCCATGACGTGATTATGGAGTTTGTGACCAGTGTGTCGGGTTCACGTATTTCTTGGGAGGCGTGTGTCGCCGTGTGTGTGATCGGTACCCTCGTGTACTATGAATTGGTGGTCTTGTTGGTGGTTGTTGGTGGGGGACGACGGTCCCAGGAGGGAAAAGGTTGGACATGGTTGTACAGGGGTCCTGGAGGTAAAGGTTAGAACTAGACATAAGGTTGGGGGTAGCCATAAGGTTGGAACCAGGCATAAGGAAGGCATATCAATTCGTGATGAGTGATGTCACGAAGGCTTGTGTAGCCGTTGTTGTGAGTTTCTCATCTTGTGACGTGTGTAGTCACAAAGGCATGTGTTTCCTAGGCATGTGTTGTCATTGGGTGTGTTCTTATTCTCTTGTGTTATGCATGTCGGGTGTTAATCTACTGTGTGATGGTTGATTATACCTTGAGCCATTCTTGTGAGTCGTTGTATCTCGTGTGGTCTTGGGATGTGTTCCCTTATCTTGTTGTGAGTGCTTAGAGTTTTGTGTTGACTTCTGCTCTTGGTTTTGAACATATATATATGTATATTCCGTTTCGCAAATGACTTTACATACGTATATCCTATCTATGTATGATATTTCACATGTATTGGTGGGTTACCAGCATTATTCGCTGATCGGGCGTCGTCCTATCTTTTATGTGTTTCTTTCAGGTGATGTGTAGACGTGAGCGCGGTCAAGAACCTGCTAGTGTAGTTCCCATGTCTTTTGTTGTTATGGCTTGTGTGCCAAGGATAGACTTTAGTACTTTGGTTATGTATGGATTTTAGATTATTAATCATGTAGATGTTGGTCTGTGCATTCACCTCTGGGTGAGCTTGGCATAGCACCCTTTCGTTTCCAGTTTATATAATCCTTTTCAGTCTTCCGCTGTGTTTGATGTTTTGATTAGTTAACTGCAGGTTTAAGGCTTAATTTAGCAAGGAAATTAGGGGGTGTTACAGTTGGTATCAGAGCCTAGGTTTGGGCCTAGGTTGTTAAAGTCTAGACTTCTAAGTGGCTAAGTCTGGTTTGAGACCTTAAAGTGACCTTAAGAATCTAAGTGTTAGGCTTAGGACTTTAGGTTGCGCGGTGAGTTGAGCATTTTTTGCTTGTTTGTTGTCTTTTTGGTAACTGTGTTGTTGTTGTAGAATCTTTGCGATGTCTCCTCGTCCACGTGCGCGTACCCCGGAGACCCCGACGAATGAGAAGCTTGCCCAGAACCTGCAGCAGTTGACGTAGACGATGCAGACTCTTAGCGAGGCGTTGCTGAACAACAACCACCCCGTGCCACCTCCTCAACCTGCTGGGCACAGGGACATGGGTCGTTTGGTGTCGGGTCACAGACCACCGACCTTCGCGGGTGAAGAAGACCCGGTAGTTTTGGAGGAATGGATGAGAGTGTTCGATAAGATCTTCTCGGTGGTGGGTTGTCCTGAAGAGCGGAGGGTAGAGCTGGCAACGTTCTACTTCTGTCATGAGGCGGATCTGTGGTGGATTCATGAGGGTCTGGCCTATCTTGAGGAGCCTGAGTTCGATTGGTCTGCGCGTAAGGATAGGATGCGCGAGAGGTTTTATCCGGCACACGTGCGAGCCGCGATGTACGAGGAGTTCCTCCATCTACAACAAGGATCTCTGTTAGTGGTCGAGTACCACAAGAAGTTTCTGGAGTTGGCGCGCTTTGCTCGGATGCTCGTGCCTACGGAGCTCTCTAAGGTTGAGAAATTCGTTGCTGGTCTGAATTATGAGGCACGAAAGGCCTTGACCGTGAGTAGGCCGAGTTCTTTGAAGGATGCATATCTGAGTGCCGCGGATCTGTATCGTGTTCAGCAGCTTCAACGAGGGTCTTATGAGCTTGCTAGAAAGATGACCGAGAGTGGAAGCTCTTCCACCTTTCGCAGCTTCCAAGTTAAGAATGCATCATCTCCAACCCAAAGACCCAACCGGATGGAGCAAGGAAATCAAGCCAAGGCGTTCCCTTGTCGTAGATGTGGGAAGGTGCATGTGGGACAAGTTTGTCATAGCCAGGCGTTTAAGTGCTTTCGTTGCGGAGAAAGGGGTCATAAGGTCGCCGAGTGCCGCCAGCAAGCCAATCAGAGGGCGTTGCCACCACCCCCAGGAGCCGGAGGAGCCGCAGGTAGTAGCTCGAGCTGTGGAGCAGCCGGTGCCAGGCCATCGGGGAGAGTCTTCGTGATGGGGCGTTCGCAGGCGGAGACCGAGGGTTTAATGGAGGAGGAGCTAGCAGGTAATCCTTTTCTAGCCTACCCTTGTCTTTAGAACGCATCTTGTTCCTTGTTGCCTTGTGTGTTGTCTTGTGTTTCTTCGTCGTCTACTTGAGTTGCTTTGCTATCCTTGCCATGTTTTTCCCTTGATAAATAATTCTTTTGGATTTAAGTGTAAGCCTTTCTTGATGAATGATTCTCTTAGTCTTATGAGCGAGTCTCGTTGTGGAGTTAGTTGTTTATTCTTGAAATGAGGCATGCTTGGGTTAATTCCGTAATCTTTGCACTTGGATATTCGCATGCTTGGGTTAATTCCGCAATCTTTGCACTTGGAAATTCTAGCAACCTTTCCTTTAAGAACCACCTAAATTGCTTCAAATATTCTTTGAATTTGGGAATAGGAAATCCATACAAAACCCTTTCTTGTGTGGCCTAAAAGTCAAGTTAAATATTTATTTGTAAGCCTTAAGTTTCAAACCCGAGTATACTCTTTGCCAAACCAACCCCTAAACCACTTGAGCTGATTATCTTTCTTGGAACATACCCAATTTAAATTAAATCTAAACCATAAATTTCCACTTTACACAAATTCCCAAATTAAATCATCTTCTTTCCCAAATTTTTCCCCAAATCCCTAAATTCCCAAACCTTCTCTTTCTCTTCTTTCTACCCGTGTGCAGCCGAATGAACCCCCCAACCCGCTACCCCCCCTTTCCACCTGTCACCACCTGCCACCGCCGGACCGCCGCCGTCGCTTGCCGGAGTTTCCCCGCCGAGCAGTCACGTCGCCGGTAGCCGAGAAGAGCAGCGAGAAAGAGAGAGAGAGAGCCGTCGAGAGAGAGAAGAAGAAGTGGAAAGTTGTGGGCTTCTTTTGTTGAGCTTTGGGTCATCTCCTATCATGCCTAGAAGGTTATGTTTGGCAAGAAAAGCGGAATGGGTGGATACCCATTACCTCGTTCTTGAAGGTAAAGCTTTCGACCCGGAATCTTTCTCTAGTTCTTTGTTGGATATGCTTAGATATCTAGGGTTGCTTAATGGGTTTCTCGCCATAAGGGCCGAGACATACCAAAGTTTGGTTAAGGAATTTTATCGCCACATGGTTGTGACAAAGGATGGTGATAAGCTTGAAATCACTTCTAAAGTGAGAGGTGTGAAAGTAGTTCTGTCTGAAAAGAGGCTAGCTCAGCTTCTGAGTTTATCAGCTTCGGGAGTTGCTCAGTATAGCGGTAACTCGTGGATTAGTACGGATACCATGGGGTACCGGGACTATTTGAGTTACTTGCTGGGTCGCACGAGTGGTTTCACTCAAGCTTCAAGGTCAGAGAAAAAGTAGTTGTCCGCGCAGCAAAGGGTCTTGGTTATGCTGGTGTCTGATTGCCTGTTGCCTAATAACAACAAAAGTCGGTTGTTGAGAAAGTTGGAGTGCACCTTTGCTTTCTGTCTCAAGAATATGGTCAAGTTCAATCTGCCGGCTTTGATGTTGCAACATATGGTTTTCTGCCGTGATCACAACCGAAAGAGCCTACCGTATGGGATGGTGTTGAGCTGGATTGTTGTCAGGAAGGGGGTAAGTGTGGATGGTTGTATACCGAAGCTCGTGGGAAAGATGGTGTTGGATGCCACCAATCTTCGAAGTTGCAACTTGTTTCAGTTGGACGATGGTGATTACATCATTCTCGAGGAAGTTGTAAGGAAATCGCCCGAAGAAAGAGCCGAGTTGGCAGCTGAGCTTGAGATTCATGTTGGAAAGTTGAACCTCGCAGTCCAGAGTTTGGGAGGTGATGAAGAAGATGAGGGTGAAGCGGGCCACGAGGAAGAAGTGGAAACACCGAATGTAACACCCCGTGTTACGACCCCTAAAACCAAATTAATTAATTAATTACTCACCCTAAAAATGGAATTAAAATCCATTAATTAACTAAAAAGGGGTCCCCCATAGTCCATGGACCCTTATCCCTAAAACTAACCCATTAGTCCTATAAGGAATGGAAGTGGCAAGCCCATACCATTTAGACCCTAATTAGGACTCTTAGGTATATAAATAGGGACATAAGAGGCACCTAGAACTCACACCACAATAACTTTCACCACACAAGAATTCCCAAGAGTTCCCATAGGAGAAATCAAGAAAGAAGAAATCTTAAAGAAAGACCCTTCATAAGCAAGAAAATTAATTAAGGCTAAGAGGTAACCCATGTCTCAACAAAACCTATTTTCCTTGCTATATTCTCCTTCTTTGGCTCCCTCTATATACTTGTGTCTTGATGAATTTCTTTATGATATTCGTGATATAATCTTGTTGATTCATGTGATGATTTTATGTGTGATCTTGATGATCTTGATGTTAAAAAGAGGTTCTTGATATTTATGTGATGATTCTTGATAAATCTTGATGTTTCTTGATGATAGAGATAAAATATGATTTTAATGATTTGGGTGGGATTAGAGCCCTAAGATGGATTGGGAATTTGTATTGTGATGTTCCTGATTTATATTCGGGTGGGAATTCGCATGTTCGGGCGTTATTTATGTTTAGAATTCATGTTAGGATATATTCAATATGATCTTTGTTTTGATCCGATAATTGCCTACGTGGTGTCGTTATTTACGTTTAAAAGTGTCTAAGCATGGTTTCGGGTTCCACAAAGGATCACGGGACGCGTATTTGATAAAAGAGTCAGTGGGCGGGTAGGTGCGGATAGGGGTACCCGCCACCTACCCGCTGCCCGAGAATCACCGCCTGGCAGCGGGCAGCCGGCGGGCAGACGCCTGACCACCGACCACCCGCTGCCCGGAAGGCCATCGCCGGCGGGCAGCCGGCGGGTGACCCCACCCACCGGCTACCCGCTGGTCCGTTACGCACCCCGGGTCCTCGGCTTCCCCGTTTGATGTTCCCCATTCCCCGTGGTGTCCCAACGGACCCCGTTTGTCGTGCCTGAGTCTAGTTTGATGTTTCGGGTTCCATTCGTAGGATAAAAGAGTCTTAGGAATTGCATGCTAGTGAATCGGTAACCCGTTGGCCTAGGAGAAGAACGCATGAACCCCTTAGGGCTACTCTTAGTATGTGAATGATCACACGTAAGTTTATTTATACACCTCCCCCTTCCCAATGTGCTAATATGTGTTACGATGTGTTATGTGATGCATGATTCCCCAATTTGGTTGCGATCAAATTGGCTATACGGGCAGTTGGATGGGTTGAGAACCATACCAACTATTAACTAGGCCGGTTGCGATCGGTCAGGTATATAAATATTATATAGGGCTGCGGTCTATTGTTTGGTTGCGATCAAACGTTTTACATGAGCTGCGGTTCATCTTCCTGGCTGCGGTCAGTGATTCACTTCTTAGGCTACAGCCCACGGGCCTCGTGTGCGGATGGTCCACCGACTGGACGCGCCAGCAGTCTGTAGGGCTATGGTCGGCTACGATCAACCGAGTGAAGGGCCAGCGGTGTGTAGGGTCGTAGTCTCCGAGGATCTTCGCCCATCGACTGAGTCCCTCAGCGGTGTGTAGGGCTTGATCCACTACGATCCACCGACTGTGCTCGTCAACGGTGTTAGGGTCGTAGTCCCCAAAAGAGGATCACAGTCCACCGACTGAGCGCGTCAGCGGTGTGTAGGGCTGTGATCCGCCGCGAGTTTTCGGCGGTCTGTACGGTTGGTTGCGATCAACCCCTTCATGCTGCGGTATGAGGTAGGGTGCTGCGGGGCCATGTTAGTGCTATACGCACTAACCCGCATGTTCGGGGTATGTGATTGGTCCCGTGGCGCCACCAAGGTGTGCTTGTGTGATTTGAATGATGATGATTTGAATGATGACTTGAATGACGAATGAATGATGATTAAATGATGATGTCGATGATTTGAAAGTAAACTATGACTGTAGATACATGTTCTTTATGATGTTGTCTCTATATAACTGTTTATCATGATTGAATGTGCTTACCCCTACTTGCTGAGTCTATCCCTGATTTTAAAGCTAGAGTCCCCTAAGTATATCTCTTCTTGCTTCAAAATGGTTTTCGTATATCTATGGAGTGGGTTACCAGCATCATTCGCTGAACAGATATATTTGGCTTTCAGGCACAAATGAGTAGACACCGGAGCGCGCTAGAGATCCGAAGCGTAGATTAGTTAGTTTCCCTTTCGGCCTGCGTACCATGATTATGTATTGACATTGCTTTGAGGTTGTTTAGTTAGTTTAGCCTGTGCATCTGAGTTTTCCAGCTCAGATGCGGCATAGCACCCCGCACTCTTATGTTAAATTTGGGATTTAATGAGAATTCACCTTTATTATATAAGCTTTAAAAGTTTCAAAATTTCAGGGTGTTACACCGGAAGCTGCCGAGGCCGAGGAAAGTGATACGGAAAGCGAAGAAAACCAAAGAAGAAGGGAAGCCCGCACCAAAATAGAGCATGATGCCATGACACATGAGGAACGTGTAGTCACCTTGCTTCGTCAACAGAACCGAATGATCGAAGAGGGCTTCGCTTACATGAAGACGCAGTTTGTTGCCGTGCACCAAATGCTAGATCAGATTGAGGCCAGTTCAAGTCATAGAGGAGAGGATGACGAAGAATCCGAGGAGAGCACCGATGAGTCGGAGAGCGATTCGTTCTAGCTCGGTGTTGTGGTAATCCCGTTCGCCTTTCCTTAGTTGTGGTTATCCTCTTAGTTGTTGTTACCGTTTGTAAGTTGCTTGTTGCTTGCCTTGTGTGCTGTTCTTGCTTGTTTTTTTAGTTGAGTAGTTAGCTTTGTTGGTTGGTGCTTTGAGGTAGTTGTTAGTTCTTGGTTGTTGGTTAGAAGTTGGTAGTGGTGTTTGGTTTAGAGTTTGATATGCTCATCATATCCGTGGGTTTCATTCTTTTAATCTTGGTGTCGATATACTTTCTTGCTTGCTTTGATGTCTTGTGAATCTTTTGGGTTTGAACCAAAAGAGGATGTTCTTGACCCTCTTTTCACATGGTTGTTTCATTTCACCGTTTGTTTTAATTCGTCGTACCCATGCTTCGGGGACGAAGCTTCTTTGAAGGGGGAGAGGATGTGACACCCCGTAATCCAAATTCAATTAAGGGATTAATTAAGTAATTAATTCTAAACCAATTGGTAATTTAATTCCTTAAATTTCTGAAAATTCAATAGTCGGGGACTAGTAATTGACTAATCAACCCAAAG